ACACACACACACACACACACACACACACACACACACACACACACACACACACACACACACACACACATATATATATTTATTTTTTTAAATAATTGGCAAAAAGCCTTTTAGAAAAATATATGAAGTCTGTCTCAAAGTCCAGATGTTGGTCAGGATCCTCATAACGCCTGTTCACACGCTTGTGCATGTGTGTCTGTGTGTGTGGCTACGTGACCAGAAACACATGTATCTCCACCATCAATCAGCAGCCTCACTCCTCCTCTTCGTCATCACATTTCTCCCTGTTTTGGTTTAAAGCCTTAAAAACGTCTCTCATGTTCAAGTTTAAGTTCATGTCAACTTTACTGTCATGTCTATCGCATGTGGTGCATGGGGTGGAATGAAATTATGTACACAGGATCCCAGTTACTCTCCAAAATAACAAACTGTAAAGTATAAAATGAAACAGTAAATAACGATATACGCTAATAAACCACCAAACGGTACACTAAAAGATCTAAGATATATGCTAAACACTAATAATGTAAACCAATACTGCGTAACGACAGCAGCCCGAACAGTTTCTGATGAAAAACCAAAGAGAAAAGTTGAAATGACTCGTCTGACTTGTACACAGACCTGAAAAAATGTTTAAAAGCTTCAATTTGAGGTTCTAAATCCACGAAACGCCTTTGTGTCAAGCTTGCAGATCAAATCAGGGAGATTCCTGAATCTTGGTGGCCAGATAACCATCAGAACGTTGTTCTTTCCTTCACGTTCTCTAAAACAAGCCTGGCTCTGAGCGGACCTCCTCTCAGACAGAAGCCTGCAGGAAAAACCGTTCCAGCCTCAGATAAGTGGATCTGTTTCCTCTGCAGACGCCTCTAATTGAAGTTAAGCTCTGCTACGTGCCGCTCCGAGCGTCTGAGCTGATGGAGCGATAAAAAGCAGCCGAGAGCTCCGATCCGTGAGTCGTCTGAGCGTCCGGCTGTCATCGCCCTCAGGTTGCACACGTTACATGTCAGACACACGCAGCTCAACACGCAGGCCAGGAGAGCAGCTGATCAGAGCAACCATCAGCCTAAAGACAGTCGAGATAATACGAAGGTACTGTGTGTTCACACCAGGGCGGGAAGACATCAGCAATGACCTCGGAGAAGCTGCCCGTCAATCTGAGAAGGGTCAAAGGTCATTTAGAGTCCATCATTCTACACAGAAAGATTATTCACAAGAGGAAAACAATTCAAACAGCTGAGTCACCCTGAAGGTCAGACCGTGCAGTGACTTTACAGGCCTCAGTCTGCAGGTCAAAGGTCATGATCTTGTCTCTCTAAGCACAGTTTAGATTTGTAATGTTCTTTCTGAAGGAAGCACAAGACTTCTGGACCAGAACCAGTCCAGAGGACAGATGTTTACCCAGAATTCAATGCAGCAAACAGCTCATCCAGCTGTCAGCATGGTGGTGGAGGCTGATGGTTTGAGCTCCTGTCAGTCACTGAGTGGACCAGAACTCTCTGGAGACCAAAGGGTTCTGGAGTCAGATGTGGGTCAGAAAGAACAGAACCAAGCTGCTGCAGCGGTCCAGTCAGAGTCCAGAACCTGAACCTGAGTGAAACTCTGTGGTGGACCCTCAGAGAGCTGAAACCTCGACGATGGAAAGGAGAGTGGGCCAGAACTCCTCCAGAACCAGGAGAGAGACTGATGGGGGTTCTGCTGCTGAAGGAGGTTCTGATGGGTCACGAGCTGGAACCAGTTATTTTTGTACTTCCTGTTTATATTTGGGCTCAGTTTGAGTTTTAGTTCCACCTCCTGTTTTAAAATAGAAGAGTGTGGTCGTCTGTCCTCCCTCACCTGGTGGCCGTGGCCCCCATAGATTATGGTAAACGGGCTGTCCTTCTACATCACCTTTCTGTCTTATCAAGACACTCAAAGCTCTTTCCACTACAACCTGCACCCTCGTTTACCCATTCATACAGCACTCCAGATCTATAATCAGAGCTTCATCACATTCATACACTGATGGGACACATCAGAGGCAGAGAGGGGTTCAGTGTCTTGCCCAGGGACACTTCAACATGGGACTGCTGGTGGATTTGAACCCCCAACTCTTGCATTGGAGGACGACTGCTCTAACGACTGTGGCTGAGTGGTTAGATTATAAGATTATAAAATATTTGGCCAAAGATATAACCTGTGCAAAGATTATACAGTAAACCTTTGTCCACCCCAATCCTTTTAGGAAACAATGCTTTATATTTAAATTTGTATTTCTTTATTTTTTGCTTAAAATCCTACTTTCCTCAAACGAATGGGGTGGTTGGTTTACATGCATGTATGCTGGTGGCCATCTTGGATTTTGATATGACAACCCAATCTTTGGCAGGAACCTTTCTGACCCCTCGATGAAGCCACAGATCAAAATGGAAGTTGGTTTCTGACATTTTTCAAGTGAACATTCTCACAACATGAACGGACGAACAGAAGCTATTTCCATTTCCTGCTCTTTGCTCTGCAACGGACAATAAGCTCTGAATTCAGATGGTTTGGGGTTTGAATCCTGCTGTGAGCAGATTCTGGGTTTTCCTTGCTGGCAGCAGTCCAACATAAAACAATAACCAGTTGCAAATGTAAAGAAAGAAAACATGGAATATGTTTTAAATTTCAGGACATAAAAACTGGTGTGGTCGTCACCAGTTTTCAAAATAAAGTCCCAACGTTCTTTGTTTTTCCTGATGAAAGGTTCTTATGTTCGGCAGCGTCGCTGCTGCAGAACATTTGAATTAGTCGTCGTGTTTCCCGCAGCGTTTGGGTCTGAGATGTTCTGGCAGGAAGTCTGAGCATCATCTGAGCTGCTTGTTGTTCTCCTGCTCACGTGTCGGTTTGGTCTAAACAACAACAACAACAATGCACAAACAGAAGATCTTTCTTCTCCCTCTCATCACGTTTTTGTTTCTGAGTTCAGCTCGTTCAAACCAACGACACCCCCCCCCCCCCCCCCCCACCCCGCTCCGGCACATTTCTGGACCCCTGTCCCCGTCTGTCACGTGTTGGTCGGATTATGTGTCAGGACGTCAAAGGTCACGGTTCACCGCCTCTCTTGGACCCAAATACTTGATGAGACCCTGATGAGACCCTGCAGAGTTTCCCAGGACTGAACCATGGACCAGTTTCTGCTCAGATCAGAACCGGTCACTTTGTCCCGTCAGCTCATCTCTGATTGGCCGAGTGAAACCTCCTCATCTTTGGTCCAGGACAAAAACAAAACCAGTTCAGTAGTCCGATTCAGAGATCCAGATGAAGTCTCAAGGTTCTCCTCAGGTTCTGCTCAGGTTCTCCTCATGTTTTGCTCAGGTTCTCCTCAGGTTCTGCTCAGGTTCTCCTCAAGTTCTCCTCGGTTCTCCTCAGGTTTTGCTCAGGTTCTGCTCAGCTTCTGCTCAGGTTCTGCTCAGGTTTTGCTCAGGTTCTCCTCAGGTTCTGCTCAGGTTCTGCTCAGGTTTTGCTCAGGTTCTCCTCAAGTTCTCCTCAGGTTCTGCTCAGGTTCTGCTCAGGTTCTCCTCAGGTTCTCCTCAGGTTCTGCTCAGCTTCTGCTCAGGTTCTGCTCAGGTTCTCCTCAGGTTTTGCTCAGGTTCTCCTCAGGTTTTGCTCAGGTTCTGCTCAGGTTCTGCTCAGCTTACTCAGTTGGGATTGTTTAGAGGTTCTGTCTGCGTGTGTTCATTGTCTCTATGTGGTCCTGTTGTGGACCTGAGACCTGCTCTACACCTCCTGTGGACAGCTGGGGGCAGAGACCAGCTCCTCGGGACAGAACCAGGTGAGTCCAGTAAATGGACAAAGAGGAACACATCTTCTCAGGTCGTTTAACTGAAGCTGTGATGAGGACTGAAGGTTTAAAGGATTCTCTTCACTGATTCTCATGAGTCTTCTGTTTCTGTTGGATTTGTTTATTAAATCCCTCCAGAGGTCAAAGGTCGAGCTCGGACTTTTCTTTTCCAAACAGGTGAAGAGTGTTTGTAACGTATCATAAAACCCTGTAGAACCATCAAACAGAACTTGTGGTCCCATCAGAACTTCTTTGATCCGGCTCATAGTTTTTGCACAGACTGTCCGAGGCCTAGTTTTTACTCTGTGTTTCTGTCTGAAGTAATGTTGTGTGCTCCCTCCTCCCATAAAAGTGTTCATCACCATGACAACCAGTGACTCAGCAGGTTCTGGCTCTTTATTTTTACCCAGCATGCTTTTCTTCCTCTTGTTTCCGTCATGGCTGTCCCTGTTGATCCTTCATGTCATCTCTAATTAGACCTTTGATGTTCAGGAGGAATCAGCCCCAGGGACAGGAAACGGGAGGAGAACTGGACTTTCAAAGTAAAGCTCTTCAAAATAAGAGTCTGGCTCTATCAAGAACATTTATTTTTTTTTACAGAGGAAGTCTCAAACTTCTTGCTTGTTTTAGAAAAAGCAAGTTGATGGATGTTGCATTGATGACCTTTAACATTATGGAATAATTTTCTAATTTTTATTGAGTTTTCACGAGTCAAACTTAGAGTTCGAAGACATCGTGATCAGGAGCAGAAGCCGCCCCGACCTCCTTCCTGCTGCTTCACGAACACGACAAAAAGAAACCCCTTCATGCTGCGTGTCCGCCTGAACGCTCCCTCCTGCGGGGCTTTCCTCTTTGTGTCTTCATCACGTGTCAGGTTCTGGTGCCAGCTCGGACCTGGTCTGAGTTCAGAGCTTCTCCCTGGTGTCTCCTGGGAAACTTCAGCAGCTGCCAAGTGGAATCAGATTAGACCAGATCATCAGAACCACAGAAAGTCCACTGCTGAAATCAAAGTCCTGAGCCAGAATCTGCTCCACAACGCTGATTAATTGGACCTTCACTCACATGTTTTATATTTGCATGTCTTTTGTTCCACCAAAAATCCTGAGAAATATTTTGACAAGATGGTAACTAACAATAAAAAATCTTCTTCAGAACCATGGAAAGCATCATTAAAGTCAAACTTTTAGCCAGCCTCAGTTCTAAAAATCAACTTCAAGGTGGTTTAAGAGAAATGTACCAAGTTAGTTGACGCTCACCTGAGCTGTGTGTTACCTGCAGGTCGGTCTGAGGCGCATCCTGGAGCTGACAGGTGAGCTGCTGCAGTACCTGCACAACCTGGTGGTGGCGCTGTTGAGCGGAGCAGAGAGTTTCAGGCGGGCCGCCCTGCGGGGGATTGGTAACCGGGCAGTCGCGTTGGCCGAGCTGACTCCGGTTCAACAGGTCCGAGAGCTGCCAGCCCAGATTCAGCAGGTGCTCCGGGACCTGCAGGAGCTGTCCAAGGTCCTTCTGCAACTGGTGATCAACACCACGCCGCTCTACGACATGGTAGGTCCAGAGAGGGAGGAGCAACACCTGAAACACACCCAGAAAACACTAAGAAAACCAAATACTCATCTGCAAACTACGGAGCAGTAAAAGGGACAAAAGTAGGATGTTGGAGCAGTTGTACATGTAGAGGACGTCCCTGATGAAGATAAACCTTTGAACTCATGCAAACAACAACACAGCCACTAACTCATCATCATTAACTGGATATTAGCATGTAATGATTAGCAGGTGGCCCCTGCAGGACTAACAATGTAACTGTTAGCTTTAGATTTACGTATCACTGGTTTGAAGTCAGGCAGCACGGTGGCGCAGTTGGTAGAGCTGCTGTCTCTCAGCGAGCAGGTCCTTGGTTCAAACCCCGGTCCAGGGGCCTTTCTGGGTGGAGTTTGCATGTTCTCTCCGTGCATGCGTGGGTTTTCTCCGAGTACTCCAGTTTCCTCCCACAGACTAAAAACATGCATGTTAGGCTGATTGGTAACTAAATTGTCCCTAGGTGTGAGTGAGAAAGTGAATGGTTGTTTGTCTCGTTTGTCTCTATGTGGCCCTGTGATGGACTTGCAACCTGTCCAGGGTGTACCCCGCCCCTCGCACAGTGATTGCTGGACATGGGCACCGGCGACCCCCGTGACCCAAAACGGAAGAAGCGGGTAAAAGATAATGGACGTATGGAACTCATTTATTTATCATTTCAGGCAAAATCCTTTTAGCCAACATTGTTGATTTACTTGAACTGTTTTGTACCCGACAGCACGGGTTCATTCTTCTGTCCCGCTGACTGAGCCAGTCTTCATGGCTGCGGTCAGTATTTTCAAGGGAGTTTACAAAAATGTTGCTTTTAGTGAACAGAACTGGCAAAACTATGACATCAGAAGTCAACGAAAGATGACGTATGCAGTCTGGTGAAAATCCCTCGTGTGACGACTAATGATGCTTCTCAAGGGGGTGTCGCGTTATGTAGCTAAATAAGTTCACCACTACCCTTGATTCTCCCAAGAGCTCACTTGAAGGTGTTTGGTTAGGGTGTGGGTTTGGACCTGAGCCCTGTCCCTCTTCAGATTCCTTGATTTGTGTGTTTCAGCTGGAGCAGCCATCTCCTCAGCAGCTGGAGGACTTCCTGAACCAGGAGGACCTGGCGTCGGACAGCTCGTCCCGCCGTAGCTCCGCTAATAGTCTCTTCTCGAAGGCAATGGATGGACGTCCTCGCCGCCGTCGTAGTCTCTACTCTCGTGCCCGTCGGGGCTCTGGAGGTCCTCTGAGCCCGGAGTCCCCCAACAAACGTCGTTCCAGCATGAAGGATTCATCCAGCCCTGAGGTAGACAGCCAGACCCCCCCTTCTGAAGACAAGGCTCTCCGACGTCCATCCGCCACGGAGCTGCTGCTCATGCCGCTCCAACAATTCATCTCCCAGAGCCAGAAGGCTTTCGAGTACCTGAGCCCCAACGCTGCAGACAACGCCGCCATCACCCTAAATACAGACGACTCCTAAAGACCGCTGTGCTTCGACCCTATCACGACCTCTGACCTCTCCACCTGTTCATTCAGTCCCTGAAGACGAGTCGGCCATCACCAAATGAAGGCTCAGTCGCTGCTGCTGGAGTTCTGATCCACTAAGAAATGCTCTGACTTTGATTAATGTTACTGTTGAAAATACAAAAAGTCTAATACCTTAAATATCTTTATGTCTAAGGGGAAGGCCTCTGGTGTTCTGAGATTTACTACGAGCAAATGCATCTCAGATTTATTTTAACCCCACGATGCTTCAAACAGTTTCTGCGTTCAGAGACGATACGTGAAGTTAAAGACTTCGTGGTTTTCCTTCTGAGATGTTCAGACATAAATAAGTTGTAGTCAGCGTTACAGAACTTCTTTGGTCAAACGTCACAATAAAAGCTGGATATAATTAGTTTAAGAAAGAGAGAGGAAATAATTCAAGTTTAACCTAAACTGAATGAAAACTGTATTTTTAAGGTAAAATTAATGATTTTATCGATGCTTTGTAACACAATCCCTGTAAAGTTTCTGTGCAACAGTGATGAAATGAAGCCTCTTCAGATGCTCACTTTTGTTCTGGTTTTATTAAAACACATTTTTCAGTGCGTTACAGAACATCTGCAGCTGATGTGCAACATCAACACAAAGAAATACAGATTACACTGTTCGAATAAAAACAGTTCTGCAGGTCTCAAGTATTCTTTTCATTTGTGTGTAAAACTAGAACGTTTTATTTCCCTTCAGGCTCAAATGGCAGATTTAAATGGACATTAAACAGGTTCTGTGTATTAATGGATCAAACAGAAACAACTGGACTCGTGTTCTGAAGCCGTTCATCTGGTCTGAAATGTCTGCAGTGTGGAGTTCACAGCTTTGTTCTTAGAGCCGCTGCAGGTTTGGAGAACTTCTTTGATCCGGTTCTGTTCCTTCTGTCTTTGTGGGGATGTGATCGGCCCGGTGGGGTAAAGTTCTGATGACAGAACGTTTGTGTTCCAGTGGGCGGTGAGACCCAAACACAAGGTTCTGACCCGTGTGCATTAATGAAAAAGTCTTCAGACGGTAGAATCGGCGTCTTGATGCTTTTCCATGAGAACAGGCAGAAACTCTGCAGCTGTTCCATCATGAAGCAAAACATCTGTTCAAACTTCAAGCTGTTCGTTTTTTAATAAAGTGTCTGAGAGTCGGACTCCCAGCTGAGCTGGACTCTGGAAGCTCTTCGTCCGCATGTTTCACAGAACTTCTGATATAAAACACATTTAGTCTAAAAAGAACTCAACTTTGTGGAAGAACTGGATCAGTCGGTGATTAGGTCCAGATAAAGGCCTGCAGTCAGGAGGGTTCACCCTCAGTGGACCAGGAAACCCGGACCTCAGGTCTGCTGGTGTCAGTACCACGGTCTGTAGGGTCACCAGGGTTCATCTTCTGAGGACCATCAACCAAACGCCAGCCTCTTAACTCGGACACTCTTCTGTTCTGCTTCTAGACTCACACTGAAGTGAAAGTAAACACTCGTACGACCTCTACTTAACCATCTTCATCAAACTTCAACCTTCTTCAGCTCGTCCCCGAGGCGTTGGACAGGAAGTCTGCATCGACTTCATCTAATCAGAATCATTAAAAACCGCTCTGTGCGTCAACTCTATTCGGCTCGTTTCCTCCCAAACACCGCCGACACAGTCCTGACGATCCCTCGGACCCCGGCCACACTCTTCCTCAGAGCCCGGGTCTCCCTGACGAGGTCGACCAGCTGGTGAAACACCAGCAGGACGCCGTGGTACGTCTCAGCCGCCGACACCTCGAAGAAGCCGCAGCGCTCGGTCAGAGCGAGCAGCCGGCCCTCCTCGCCAGAGACCCTGCGGTGGTCCTTCAGGTCCCGTTTGTTCCCCACGATGACGACGGGGACGGACGACGGCTTTCTGCTGCGGCGAATCATCTGCAGCTGCTGAAGAACCGCGGAGAAGCTGCCGCGGTCGCAGATGTTGTAGACCAGGATGATCCCGTCAGCCCACTGCAGCCGTTTGTCGCTGATGGAGCTGCTTTTCTCTCCAGCCTGAAGAGAAATTAAAAATATATTTTACTTCTGTTTAAAGACAAGTAAACCAAGTCCTCATCCTTAAATCTGTCCAGAAACATTTAAGTCCTCGCTACAGCTAAAGACAAGTTGGTGAGTTTTTTGTTGTAGCTCGTTCTGTTGTCTTACATGTCAGTGCTGAATTAAAAATAAATTAGTCAACTTTTCCATTAGTTGCTTCTTGGCATGGAAGGCGATACGTCACTGGACTGGAATTACTGGAAGCAAAACTTGCAACAAGTTTAGCAAATTTTCTCATCGCACTGAACGAAACATTTGCCTGAAAAATTTGGTCCAAAATCCACGAGGAGTTTTAACAACTCCGAACTTTAGAATGTGGAGTTTGAAGCTTCAAACTGCCCGAGATGATCAGATTATTCACATGCAGATTATTCGTACATCCCTCCCTCCTAAGGGTCATGAAGGTCTTTGTAGCACGGATGAAGGGTTCCAGTTAGGGACAATTCCAGCAACAAGTTTGAGACCATTTGTTCATTTCTTTAACACATGAACCCTGCTGAGACCCTCAAATGTTTAGAAACAGTTCAGAGAGTTTGTCGCAGTCCAGCAACAAACTTCAGGAAGTCATTTAACTCTGTTTATCTGGGGAAACGTGATGCAGCCAGAGGAGGATGTACCTGAGAGTCCCAGATGTTGATGCAGATCTCCTGACCATTGACTTTGTCGACTCGACTGTAGATCGACTCTGAAAACAAGAAACAGATTGAAATTTCAGACGAATGCAGCAAAAAGAATAATAAAAAAAAAAAAAAAACATTTCAAGCTATTTGCAAGAAAGTCCTCAAAGAACAGACGAAGTTCTCACCAATGTCTCCGTACTCGCCGATGAATCTCCTGGTCAGAAATCTGACGGCGAGAGCTGCAGAGACAAACAACGTTAACACAAAACAACCCAAAGACGTTTCTGACAAAACACATAAGGAAAAATCTGAAGCATAAAACACTAATTATGTTACTTTATATGCAATTAACTAATATAATGTCTTCTGTTAAAAACAGGTTTCATTCAAACTGTTCCTTAAACATCTTTATTAAAAAGAAAAAAATAAACATGTAAATCTTTTAAAATGGGATGCTCAAAGAAACTTTTCAGTATTTTATTTATCTTTTGGAAATATTAAACCTTTACAAAATGAAATTATTTTATATAATCATCATCCATCCATCTCTGTACATCTATCTATCTATATCTATCTATATCTATATCTATCTATATCTATCTATATCTATCTATATCTATATATCTACATCTATATATCTCTATATATCTATATTATATTATATTATATACACACACACACACAGTATATATACAGTATATGTGCACGTGTGTGTGATGGAGGGGGTAAATGAAACAATTCTAACTGTTGACCATTTTCTAATCATATATAATACAAAATTTGACCTTTTGAACCTTTGTAACATTTGTAACATTTATAATTTTTCCTAAAGTAAGTTGAACTTTTTAACAAAAGTGCAGAAGATGTAGAAATAATTAAAAGTGCAACTGAGTGGAATATACTTCCTGTTTCTTAATATCTTAAAGCAGAAAATAATTAATCTGTGTCAAACATTCTTACCGGTCTTGCCGACGTTGTGTGCTCCCAGCAGCAGGATGTTCACCTCCACCCTCTGCTGGTTCCCCTCCATCGCCTCCACGCGGCTTCTCTCCTCCACCACCATCAGGAATCTGTGCGAGTTCTGGTTCTGTCTGAATGGAGAAAGGTTCTGCAGCTCCTGCTTCAGATCCTGGTTTTATATACGTAGTGGGCGTGGCCTCTTCCTGGCTGCACCATCTGATTGGTGGATGCGATTTATCTGGTGTGTGTGTGGAGTCATCACTGATAATGAGCCAGTTTGTGTAAACTCGTATTGAGTGTTTGTGAGGACCACAATCTGTTTTGTACCACCTCAGTGGGGACGCTTTGGCTTAGGAGGACACTTCAGGACATGTCTGCTCTACAGGGGACATTTTAGGACACATTCTTTTTACGGACAGTTTTTTGGTTGTGGAGATATTTCATTTAACTTTTAAACACAATGTTTGTTGTTTTCTTTGTTTTTTTTTTTACTGTCTTTTCTTTTTTTACATTTTCAAGGAAATACATTTAGATTCAGTTTATTTATTCATATAGCTCAAAGTCACACAAAATAAAGTCACAACAGAAGTCATCTCAGGGCACTGTACAAAAACATTCACATACATAAAAAAGCCTATTAGTAAAAGTTCTCTATCTAAGGAAGCCAGCAGATTGTGCTGAATCTTCACTTTGTTAGCACAAGGGCACCAGTGGAACATAAAACTCCTCTTGACAGGAAGAAACCTCCAGCAGAACCAGGCTCAGAACGAGCAACCATCTGCTTCGACCAGCTGGCTTTGAGAGGAATGGAAAAAGAAACAAAGCACAGAATAACAAGTCCAGGCGAACTTTTTATTGGAAGAAAGACAAAAATTAATGTAGAAATAATTACAAATAGGTTTTTAACGGAAGAACTGGAGACTAAATTAATGCCATCCACAGGATGTGAAAGGCTGCAAAGTGTATTCCTAAAATGCTCAGGTCCAAAAACCAAAACCTATGTCATGTCTGCGTTTAAAAGCAGAAAATTAAGGATTATCCAGGTTTTTATGCTTGTAATCTAAGTAATTGAATGGACTAATTGGGTGTCATGGACAAATATAATTGTGTATCATAAGCATAACAATGAAAATGTGCAGCATTGAGGTCTAACAGGACCAGTAGACGTATAGACACAAGTCCATTGTCTAAGGCCATGAGAATATCATTAGTAACTAATAATTAGTGTGATTTCTCTGCTATGATAAGCTCTAAACCCTGACTGAAACTCTTCAGATTATTTCTATTTAGATGCTCACACAAATCACCTACAACTATTATCTCTAGAAGTTTTTTTTTAGATGAATGTTAGATTAGATATAGATCTATAACTGACCAGAATTCCTGAATCAAGATCAGGTTTCTTAAGAAAATGTATAAATACGGCAACCTTAAAGCGCTTTGGTACATAACCATTTAAATTAAGCAGAATCAGAATAAGCTTTATTATCACTGCACCGAGATACGAGAATATATATATAAGCAAATCAAAAATGTGATTATTAATTAGGAGAAATACCTTTTTAAACAGTCTGATTGGGATGGGATTTAGCAGACATGTGGTTTGGCTGAAGTTATAATTTTTGATAATTCATTGAGCTCAACAGGACAAAAACAGTTTTAAAATACAGTAAATCAATTTCTAGGGACATCCTCCTCCAGCTGAGGAGAAACTCTTCATCAGTGTTTGTGCAGAGAGAAACTGGACTACTCTGCCCCCTGGTGACCCACACCAGAACCTCTGATTGCTCCTTTTAAATTCTGTTCCAAGTTTGTGCTTTCGGTTACTTTAAGCTCTGAAATCCAAGTTCAAGTTTTGGATTCAGTTTTTTAAATTACCATAATTTCAACACCACAGAAAACCATTTGAAAATGTATTTTATTTTTTTAATCCAATAATTCTCAGGTCATCTGGACAGTTTCTTTTTTTATAGACGTTTCGCCCTCTATCCGGAGGGCTTCATCAGTCTGAGGAGTTCCAGTAAATGGTTTTCCCACCGAGCAGTAAACTTCTTAAGTGGACCAACCAGTGTGCTGGAGCTAAGATGGTTTCTGGGGGTCGTCCTGTCCCCCCCCCAGACTCCTCCCAGGCCGGCAGCCACAGCAAAGTGGTTCCAGGCAACAAAACTCATGCTCGATCATCCAGGTATCAAATCCAATAATTCTCAGTCAGGTCTATTTCTATCTATCAGGTGTATTTTAAAATATTTTCTGTGAAATCTTTCTAAAGTTTATTTATCATTTGTGGTGTCAGATTCGGACTCTTTGGGCCTGGCATAAAACATTTGGACAAAACTGTCCACAGAAAACTAAACCGCAAATCATTTGAAATTTTTGTTAACAGTATGAAAATAATGTTTTAGAGTCAAACAATAACTTTTCTGTACACTTTAAATATTTGCTCACCCGTTGAAACCAAGTAGCAATTTTTCAAATAAATCAAGAAAACAGATAAACCTAATCGATTGATCACAAAAACTTTTGCACAACTTAACACAATATTTTTTAATCAAAGTGTTTTTACAGAAACCTGCACCCCTGAGAGGTTTGAATCAGCTGGTTTCCATCCAGTTTTATTCATTTTGTGTTAAAAACAAAAAAGCGTTTCCACAAACTTTTAATAAACAAAGCAACGGCACAAACATACATTTAAAACTAAACTATTTTCATTTAGAAAAAGTAACAAGTTTGTTCCACAAGAAACAACTGGAAGTATCTCACCAGGTTTCACAGCCGTTTTAATAAATAAAACTTGAAGAAAAATAAAGTCCGATGGTACAAACTACTTTGATCAAAAATGATGTAATATTCAGGTTTTAACTCAAATTAACTTTCAGATGTTCTGTATGAAAGTTACATGATCAAGTTCTGTTTCAAGTTAAAAACTTTCTAATTACCCCGACGCATGCTCAATAACCTAAGTACAAAAATCAAGTTAATAAATACCAGTAATTATACATAATAAATAATTAACTTTCTAATGTTTTATTTCTTTCTTCAGCTTTCATTTATTAATTTTCTGTATTTGAGATGTTTCAAAAATAATTTGTGAAATAAAAAAAAATGCTTTAATTCAACTAAATAACATGGATTTTTTTTTTAAACAAGATATTATATATGATGTAAAATATGAAATAACTAGACATTTTAGGAATCTGCTAATAATCTCAGTAACTGGATTTTTCTAATATTTAACTAGTTTGTGTTCAGCTTCAATATTCAATGAAACATTTTAATTTAATTAATTTTAAACAGATCAATTTGAAGAGAAAACAATAAAACCACTATTAATAAACATTTGGTCCAAAAAAAGTCCTTGTAGGATTCTAAGGCACAAAAACATTTACATACTAACGAATATAAGCAACAGCTGCTGCTGAGACGAGGCAACGGTGAAAATATTCACAGGCTCTTTCATGTTTTACATTTGAGCTTTTCTCTATTTAGCTTTTCTTGGCTCTTTTGGCTGCATGAGTTTTCTGATCCAGAAAAGCTCTCAGCTTCTTCTTCAGACCTGCCAGCTGGGAGCTTGGTGGGAAGTTCTCCTCTTCGTATTTATTGCTGCTGGTCGCTGAGGTGCTCCCATCATCACATGGAATATTTGTGTCCAGAGCCTTCAGAAGTGAAGGATGCAGTTCTGATCCTAAAAGCTCCACCAACTTCTTCTGGAAACTTTGCTCCAAACTACACAACGCGTCATCCTGGAAACAGAAAATCATCTCAGAGCTGACAGAAATCGAACAAATTGTTGGTTTGGTTTAAACCTCCTAAATCCATTTTTACTTTTTACATTGTCTTAAAGACATAAAAACCTGGACGATCCTAAATTTTCTGCTTTTGAACACAGACGAGACTGAGGTTTTAGTTTTTTGGACCTGAGCATCTTAGGAATACATTTTTCAGTCGTTCTCCCTCCTTTTTTTTTTTTTTACCCTTTATTTATCCAGGTAGTCTCATTGAGCCACCAGAACTCATTTTCAAGAGAGACCTGTTTTAGCGAGCAGATGATGGGGGTTAAGGGCCTTGCTCAGGGGCCCAGAGTGGGGAGAATGAGGGTGGAAGGAGGCGTGTGTGTTTCACCTTTTCCACCCACATTTTGATGTTGACGGTACCGGGAGGTGAACCTGCGACTTTCCGATCACAAGCCCGTCTTCTAATCTCTGCGCCACCACTCCCTCATATAAAATTAGACACGTCTTATCTAAAAATGATGCAGAAAAACTGGTTCATGCATTTGTCACGTCTAGACTGGACTATTGCAATGGTTTATTATCTGAGTGTCCAAATACGTCTTTAAAACGTCTTCAGTTGATCCAAAACGCTGCTGCCAGAGTCTTAACTGGAGTTAGTGGGAGAGATCATCTCTCTCCAGTTTTAGCTTCTCTCCAATGGCTCCCTGTCAAGTCCAGAATTGAATTCAAATGTTTATTTCTAACCTACAAAGCCCTCAACAACCTAGCTCCATCTTATATTTGAGACCTTTTGTTCCATATTTTCCTAACAGAGCAATTCGCTCTCAGGCTGCAGGTTTACTCGCGGTTCACAGAGTTTCCAGGAGCAGAATGGGAGGAAGAGCTTCCAGTTCTCAGGCTCCTCTCTTGTGGAACCAACTTCCAGTTTCTGTCCGTGAGGCTGACACATTGTCCAGTTTTAAGACTTTCCTTTTTGATAAATCCTATAATTAGGGTCGGCTTGTTATATTATCTTAAGCTCAGACTACTAGCGAACAAAATGACCTAATTTCCTTAAATAATTTAGTAAAATTTAATAGTTTTCATTTGATACTATTTCTATAGTAACGTGATTATTGACCTGCCATTGTGTATCTGTTCCTCTCAAACCCAGCCGGTCGAAGCAGATGGCCGCTTGTCCTGAACCTGGTTCTGCTAAAGGTTTCTTCCTCATGAGGGAGTTTTTCCTTTCCACTGTCGCCTTCATGCTTGTTCAAGATGAGAGTTCTGTGATGGAGTTAAACTCAAAGCTGCTCCTCAGATAAATAATGTTAAATTATTATTTTTATATATGAATGTTTCTGTTCAGCGCCCCGAGACGACTTCTGTTGTGACTTGGCGCTGTATAAATAAACTGAATTGAACTGAATTGAATTGGGCAAAGCTAACTTGCAACGTTGCTACAAAGATTCCAATTTTGACTTCTCTAGAATATTTTCTGACTTTTACTTTGATTTCTAAATTATTGTGTCCACCCCATATTTGCATAAATAAATGACAAAGTTTGCACGGCGGTAGTTTTGTCTGTAAAGTGTTGGGACAATGATGGAATATAACTGCATCCAGCTCCACAAGTTTCAGTTTTGAAACGATGAACTTTTGCAGAAACAAATGTCTTGTTTTTCAAGTTACTTTAGACATAAAAACGTGGTACATTAATGTAATTTACTGTATTACTTACTTCTACATAGTGGTGCAGTTTTGTCAGAACGATCATGTAACATTTTTAGATTTGAGAATATTTGTTTCCTTGGTTACAGATAGTTTCCTTTGGCTGTGAGGAATAATGTTTTATTGCAAATGTAGATTTCTTAAATATTTCTGTTTTCTTTGAAATTCTGGAAAATATCCAAATTAGGATGTTTTTTAATTTTCACAAAGAGCATTTTTCAATTGCCTCTCACCTCATCACCCAAATCTAACTAAATCTATATTTTATTTAAGTCTTCATATACGAGCCTGTACAATGCGTTAGTAAAATAACGACTGTTTAACGTTTACAGACGACACAACGAGGAATGTTCAGCGTTTCATGTTTCAGATTCTGACAGAGGGCGACCCCAGTGGCAAAAGGATGAATACCTGGAGATTATGATCAATTTGTTCAGTTTTGTCTTCATAAATACTCAAATCAGAAAAACGTTCTGCTCATTTCAGGGTTTATTTTGAGGAAAATGTGATATTTAAGAGTTTGGAAATGCTGGAGTTCTTCCAGACTTCTTGTTTTCATATTGATCAGGAAAACCTCAAATCAAATCTCATGTTTTCATCCTTTACGACGGCACAAAAACCATCAACTTAAATAATCCTTGTAGCAGCCTGTCCCAGAGACAACATTTGTTCCCATAACTCCGTCAAAATGTTTTTTTAGTTGAATTAATATCAAAAATTATTTCTTCAGCTCCAACCAGCTGATTCTCAGAAAGCCGGTAGCTAAAAACTTGAAGAGAAAGAAGCTTCTCTCAAGTCCTCATTTTCCTCGTCTCTTGAGTACGTGTAAAAAAAAATTTAAACTTCTGATGTGAAACGCTGTTATTAATAAATCCACGCAGTCGTACCTGCGACGCGTCCTGAAATATGATCCAGAGGTCAGAGACGAGCTGCGCAGCTGATCGATACGGAGGAGAGCGATGATGGGTCAGACGCTCCGATATCAGCATCAAATTGGTCCAAAAATCCAACTGAAAACAAAAACAGGTCGAATTTCAGCAGCAGAATGTGTCTCTGGATCTGTGTGATTTATTTATGAAAAGTCATAAAGCACTCAGTTTTTATCATGAAGACATTCAAAGGAATGGTGGTCATTTCATTCCTGAAAGAACTGGTTCTGACTCGGGCAACGGTTCTGCACAGACAGAAGCAGTTTGGTACCAACGAGGACTTGTTTGGATAAACTGACCTCGGAGAACTGCCTGCAGCCTTCGACCTTCAGGTGCAGCAGGAGAGTCTCACACCTCTACAAACAGAAACAATTACGTCAGCAACACAACTGAAACACTGAAGGTTGCCTTTAAACAAACTAAAGTTAGATTTATTAAATTGTATTAAAGTCGGACCCGCTGGTTCTGCAGGCTGAGCTGGGTACTCTGTGGACTCTGTGATCGGTCAGAGCTGTAGGGGTCTGAAGGGTCTGTCAAATCCTGGCATAATGAACAGATCCACTCTGACCTGCAAGACAAAGATTTGGGATGCTCAGAAACAGAAACCACATCAGACTTTTCTCATTTCATTCACTCGTATAGAAGGAGAGGTTCCAAACTGGTCAGACCGTACCCATTCGTTAACCCAACCACTCGGACTCAACCCTCTCTTCTACGAGCTGTAATTTCCAGTTTTCCTTTGGGCTCACGTAGCGCTGATAAAAAGCATCTGAATGCTCCCAAAATCTAAATCCAAAGGCTAGGACCACCATCTTTATAGCACCAACAGAATGGAGGCGCCCAGGCCCTGTAAAACACCATGTTTGGAACCAGGATTGATGGACCTCCTTTTTTGAAACCAGTCAAACTTTAGGTGTGGTCCGTCCCCTCACACAGTCTCATCCTAAAAGACTGATCTGCAGGACACTTAACACACTGCACATGGCGTGTGCAGGGCGTGGCTTATCTTACTTAACCAAGTCTTTATCTCTGGGATGGGCCCATCACACACAGTGTAGATCTTTACTACATGGATACTGAAATCATTAAATAAAACAATATGACACTTTGATTCTATATTGACAGTAAGTTGCAGTGTTTATTGTAAAACACTGTGGAACTATGAACACAAGCCAAAATAGAACCCCCTACCAAAAACTAGCTCAGACCTCCTTTTATACCCTCCATGTACATCAGAGACTTCTATAAACATACATGAACCATATAAGAAGTTGTTATTTGGCTTATCAGTATATTCCTACTAAGGAAACTTTTTCCTGGGTGAGAGCGCCCAGACCAGGGCTATTCAACAAAACTACTCAAGGGGCCACAGTTTCTGAAAGACAGCAGCTCAGGGGCCGGACGCCCAGCGATTAAAGTCATTATGTAAATAAACCAAGTTTTATAATGATCTGTTACCTTTTAAATTTGTTTATTTTATTGCATTGAATCATAAATGCAATAAACAGAACCAGAACCCCAAAAATAACAACAACAAACAAACAAAAAAGTATATTATATATATATATTTTTAAATGAAGTCATTAGTGGACCGGATTGAAGTGGCCGTTATTTGAATAGCCCTGGCTCAGACATTCTGACGCCTGGTCCACTTCCTGTAAGATAAACACATTTTCTCCTTTCTTGCAAGATAAAGTCAGCTTGACCCAACTCCTAATTTGGCCGCTTAACACTACTTCAACAGGAGACCCTTAACTAGCCTTTATAACGGGAAACCACAAGGATTACTGATGGGACCTCATATTTTTCCTAAAGACATCCCAACTCCCGGTCTCGGAATTGCAAAACTTTTTCTACCACTGCAAAATACGATGACACCCAGCTCATCCTTTAGTTCAACAAGGACAACATTGTCTTAATAAGTCTTTTAGCTCAACTATCAGAGTACCTGACGAAGATGAATAAGCGCCTTGAACTAAACCATTCTAGAGATGATATGCGTAACATTGTTGCTACCTAGTCTATTTATTGCAATTTCAACACAAAAATCACATTTTTGACTGTGAAAATGAGAAATCTGTAAATACCTTCCAGTCTTATTTGTCATCAGACTGGAAATCCTTTGATTCACCAAGACTTTAAAGACTAACTGCTCCCTTTACCTTCCTATAGATTATTTTGATTTAAATTAGCATTTTCCTGGATATGCCTACTTTTATCAAGCTGTAATAAATAAATCAAAAATAAGATCCAAACAAACCAATTTTGAATTCAATTCATAATCCAACTTCATTTAAGACATCAACAGTATCCAGCTCTTACTGATGAAAATCTTTTAAGATGACAAAAAAGAGTGGATACATTTTGTTTTTTTTACCTGTAGTGAACTCGGCCTCCGATCAAAACCTGCCTCTGAAGACCTTCATGGGACAGGAACTGTTATTTCATTGATTTGAATCCAGAAATACAAATTAGCTCATCCAGAGACTTTCTAATTGTATCCTGAACTAATCAATTGAAAGAACACTCTCTTTTTTATATTATCATTACTATTTTACAATATCTTGATAATCAAACATGTGTTTAGTTCATAGTATTAATGATTTTTTAATCCTCATTCAAATTAGAAATCAAGTTAAATGTCTATTTTACCAAGTAATTATGCATTTTTTGATCTTCTGTCTGAAATGAGAAGGAGTGATGTCAGTCAAAAGTCGGAGACAGTCGAAAACAAGTTGTTGGAACGAGCTGTCGTGTTTTTAAAGCTCTCAAGACAGAAAACAAGAACTGGCACCTGCAGTGTTTCTCACTTCGCCAAAACATTTCTCTGTCTGTTCCTAAACATTTCTGCTGTTTGCTCGACTTGTAAAAACCCTTTGACGTCACTAGAACCACACCCCTGTTGGTTGCTTCAACCAATCAGGACTTCCTAAAAGTGACCGGAAGCAGAACTCTTTAAAAGTCGACACTTCCTGGAACTCTTCTGAGTTCCTCTGAGTCTTTTGATTTCTTCTGAGTCTCTTCAGTCTTCTGAGTCGAGTTGGGACTATGGAGTCTTCCACATCTGAGTGGAACCTCTGGCGGACTCACAGCTGGCTGTGTATCCACCCAGGAGATGAGCGTGTTTGTTGAACGGAGTACCGTCGCTACTTCGGACGATTCTCAGCCATCCTGACTGGAGACGCTGAAGGTAGCGTTGAAATGGAACTCCGTACCGGAGCTGACCTATCTTCTGCAAAGGTAACGAGTCGCTTCACTACCGAGTGTACCGGGGCTGAGCTGGGGTCGGATGAAGGGTGCCATTCCTAGTCAACACACTTTCCCTCATCCATCTTTTCTCTCCATTTAAACTTCTTCATTTCCCATCTTTAAACTTCTATCTTGCCAGTAATTAATCCAGATATCTTCAGAAATGTCTGTTGTTTTTATTAAGTAAAACGTGCCAAGTTTTATTAATCAGAAGCAGCTCAGTCTAATCAAGTGTACAATGTTTTGATGTTAAATTTTGATTCTGTTAATAAATGACCACATTTATCTTGATGGGTCAAAGAAAATTAACGTCTTATGTCCCTGATTAAACCATCTACGCACAGCTCTGTCACATATCTGTAAAGCTCGAGAAAGAGAGAACCCGTTATTAAAATATAACTGTAGTGGAGCTCTGAAGCTAATCGAGCCTTTTAGCACACTACATACCAAATGTCAGGTCCAACTGGGGGGATGTGACAGTCCCTGTGGTATCCTCGGCCGCAGTCTGAGCAGATTTTTGATGCGTTGGGTGAAGAACATGCAGCGCAGGAAATTATCTCCAAGGACAATGGCGACCCAGGAGAAGATGGAAGGTCTGTGAAGTCTTCATTGGAGTCATCATTCGGGGCGTCATCAGGCACATTAATGACAGACTGTAACAATAGTAACAAGTGGATGGGTTAAACCTGACCAGTTGGATCATCCTGACTGGTAACATATTGAACTTGCTAGTCATGAGTTACCTCCTGAAGGTAGATCTCCTCTTTACCATCTCGGAGGACAGAGTAAAAACTTGGCAGGAGGGTCGCCCTTGGTGGGAGATGCACGGGCAGTCTGGCCAGAGACACTTTGGGCTGCCACTGGGGCTGACTGAAGTCCTGCTGTCTGCTGGTCTTTGTGTCTTCATTCTCACTATCCGATGTTTCAGACAAAGGCAGGATCAGTGGAGGATCTTCATCTTCTGACAAGGCTGAAGGCTCGTCATCTGATGATATAGGTGAAAAAGAACTGCAAACAACTCTGCTGTTGTCTGATTTAGTACTGATATATTCATCCTCATATCCATCACGTGAAGGCTGCTTCCCTGAAGGGTCCGATTCACCTGATGGTAAAAAGTGTCCAAAGGGTTTGATTTCTTCTGACCTGATAAGTGTCCTTGCAACCCCATCCATTTCAGGTGAAGAACAACTCCCTGCAGGTTCAGCTTCCTCTGGAGAGACGATGGTGAGCTCGTCATCTGATGATATAGGTGAAAAAGAACTGCAAACAACTCTGCTGTTGTCTGATTTAGCACCGATATGTTCATCCTCATATCCATCACGTGAAGGCTGCTTCCCTGAAGGGTCCGATTCACCTGATGGTAAAAAGTGTCCAAAGGGTTTGATTTCTTCTGACCTGATAAGTGTCCTTGCAACCCCATCCATTTCAGGTGAAGAACAACTCCCTGCAGGTTTGGCTTCCTCTGGAGAGACGCTGGTGAGCTTGTCATCTGATGATATGAGTCTGTCAAAACAGGTATTTTTTTCTGATTTGGTAGTGACGGGTTCAACAATGTGAGCTTTAAAAGAAGACCGCTTCCCTGCAAGGTCCATTTCCTCCACGGAGATGGTGAGTTTGCCGTCTGGCGATGCAGGTGAAATTGGTCCAACGATAAGATGGATTTCTTCAGAATTTATGACATTTTGTGTAACCTGGTACATTTTAGATGATGACATCTCCCCTGCAGGTTTGGTTTCTTCTGATATTGTTGCAGTCTCTTTGATTTGTGGTGTTTCAGATGAAGATAATTTCTCTGCTGGTCTAGGTTCTCTAAACTCAATGGTTGCTGGTCCAGACACAGAGGTGGGTCGTTCGTCCACTTTAGATTCCTGATACATTTCTGGGTCTTGGACACGGTAACTGGAACAAACCGCCGTCTCCGACTCTAGATTCTGTTGCTGGCCATTAAGGAGGGAGGGTCCAGTATCAGAAGTTCGGTTCTCATGAGAGAATACTTGACTATCGGATCCAGCGCAGCTTGGATTTGTTAGAGTTTGCTGGTTTGATGCAGTTGAAGAACATCGAGTGGCAGGGCTGATGTTGTCTGTAGCATTCAATGGAGAAGCCTGCGGAACCAGTGAGACCGGAATGACCCATGAACTGGCACAGCTGTCCTGAGCAGTCGAAATGTTGCAGAGAGCAGAACTGTTCTGCAGCACTGGGAACTGAGGCGACACTGAGAAGGGGTTGAGACCAAAGCCAGACACCAGATATGCATTCTCCGTATTGTTCAGCTGAACTACAGCAGGCTGGTTCTGACTGGGAATAAGATTCTGGTTCAGGACCTGCAATGACTGGACAGGGTTTGGACCTGCCACCAGCGGTAGGATGGAAGTGTGGGGCTGACCCATGAAGGAAAGTGTCTGGGGGAGTGCACTGTATGGCAAGGAGCTAAAAGAAGGGCCAGGGGAGGAGCTGACAGAGAAGAGTGAAGGTGGTGCAGGAGACTGAGTGTTGGTCAGCAGAACCACTGAAGACTGGGTCTGATCATGAACAGGTAGCCGTTTCAGAACCAGAACCTTTTGGCCAGACTTTGTGTTTTTACTGAAGGGTATATGGTGCTCCACCCCAACAGGAGGAGTAGAGGAGGAGGATTGGACAGATGATGAAGATGAGACTGAAGTCTGAGCGGTTGTCATCAGTGCCACGGCCTGTTGGTTTGATGACTGGACCGGCATTAGGGAGTACGTTCTTGGCTTTGCTGATGGGGGTAAAGTGGAGCTGATGGGCTGAACGTTTTCAGTCTGAGCAGTTGGAGGAGCAGCTTGTGGGAGGACCTGCGGTACGGATGGTGGACAGGAGGTGGAGGAGGTGACGGAGGAGGGGCAGACACTGACCGAGGTGGTGAATGAGGAGGACGAAAGCGTTTGCAGTGGAAGTGAAGTGGTAGCATCAACTTTACCTTTGGCTTTTTTACAACGTAAAGGGGAGGTTTTAACAGTCCTGGAAGTCTTGTTATTCTTATACCTGAACTTGAAGAATTGACTGGTACCCGTCTCCAACTGTGACCTGGACAAGATGTTAATTCTATCAAAGGACGCAGGACACTTGGGGGTTGTCACGTTGCTTTCTGATGTTTCAGGACCTTTGGTGGCCTGTGAAGACGGAGAAATGGGGCTGCTTCTGTGAAGGACATTGTCGACAACAGTGGACATAGTGGTTCCAGTGAGGGGATCTTTGGGGAAGCCGAGGCTGGAAATTGGTGGAACCAAGGAAGTTAAAGTGGAAGGGAAAGCAGAAACTGAGTGATGGTCTACTGTAGTTCTGGGGGGATCACAGATATTCAGAGTTTGAGAGAGTGATGGAGAGTCGGAGGTCAGAGCAGAGGAAGATGGAGGAGACCTCATAGTGAAAGGAGAAACAGATGCAACCAAACTGACTGGGTTCTCTCTGGTATTGGGATTAGAAAATGTGAGGCTGGAGGATAATAAGTTTGATGAGGAGAACAAACGAGGGTAACTCTGATGGGAAGTTGAATGACTGACCTGAACAGGTTGACTAGCATCAGTACTGGTCCTGGTCTGAGGGTTGGTCTTGGAGGAGAACCCTGACTGGATGGAGGAGGAAGAGGAGGTGGTGATCGAGTTCGTTTTGGATGACGCAGGACTGAAAACACTGTTACTGACGGATGTAAAAGAGGAGAGGAGTTGGCTGCTGGTAGCTGGAGGAGTGACGGTTAGTGGGGAGGAGGACAAAGAAAGATCTGAGAGTTTCTCCATCTCTTTTGTGAGCTGTTCAGACACAGAGAAAGGAATCCATGACTCCTGAACTTTACCTGCAAACAGAAACAATGACATCATTAGGATTTACACAGTTTATTCTTGTTTTTAATGCTTTTATCACACAAAAGGAGACAAAAGTCCACCCTTTTTCTCAGTTCTAAGGATTTCCATATCTGGACATAAAACGGATTAATAGATTCTGACACAAGAGAACTAAAGTGGAGCAAAATACACGTGGAGGAAAAAACAAGACATTTGTCTTAAACCACATTTCTCTTGCGACTTTTCCTTACAAGTTTTAAATGTTTAAGCTTTTTCCAAATTGTCCTACCATGACCTTTGACCTGCAAACTGAGGCCTGTAGTCTGAGGTGGAACTCATTTCTTTGAGCGTTGCATGGTCTGACCTTCAGGGTGAATCTGCTGTGAAGACCGTCGACGGTCTTAAATGTTTTCCAGTTGTGAATATTCTCTCTGTAGAACGATGGACTCTAAACGACCTTTGACCCTTTGCAGATAGACAGGCAGCAACAGCTGATTCTCTGAGGTCATTGAGATCCTGAGGAAGCAGCGAAGCTGAAACCAGTTTCTTTACTCCCAGCTTTAATTTTTGTTTTGGTTTAATAAATAATAACTTTTGATCACTCGGTTAGATTTGAGTCATGTGAGAACCTGATGAAGACCAGATCAGTTTGATACTGTCCCGATACATAAAACCTCAAGGTACTCGTTTGTCTTTGACTTTTTATTCTTTTAAGAATAGGAGCTTCATTTCATCAGCCCCTGACCCAAACAGCACGATCTGTGACTAGTCCGACCATGGTCGTTTGGCTCAGTTTGTGCCAAACAATTAAAATCACCCTCACTTCCTGTCTTCCTGTTCCAAAATACTAAATGAATATTTGGTGTTCCTCTGGATGGATTGAGCTTGTTGAAATGACATATATACATACATATACATACATACATACACACACACATACACATACACACATATATATAAATAATAAGAGCTATATGATGTCTTCATTGTATGTTCCCATACAATGACGAAATTAGTTCTCCGCATTTAACCCATCGCAACTGGGATACACCCAGGTGGAGCAGTGGGCAGCTATTGAGCGCCCGGGGAGCACTTAGGCATTAGGTGTCTTGCTCAGAGACAGCGCGACATGTGGGAAAGGCTGGGAGTCAAACAGTGACTTTCTGATCCCAAGTCAGCTGCCCTACCCCCATCTCGGTGTGATAAGCATTATAAAAACAATCCACGGCTTCAATGTAACATCGGTGTAAGCCTGTGTGAATGTCTGCCTTTTCAAGTAAACTGGGTTGGAAAATCTCCTGTCGTCGTGTGTGGCTCCTTTATTTACGTAGATAAAGCAAGGATATTTTTATCCAACATTTTGGTTCTTGGAATGCCAGCCCCAACATCTGGACTCAGAACCACCAGACTTTGATCTGAACTGTGCACGGGATGTCCTTGTTGAAAGCCCTCTGGTTGAATTGCCGCATTTTAAGAGGCCAGATCGAATTGATGGAGGTCAGGGCGAAGTGACGGGGAACGGACACGTGAAGCCACGCACGGAGGAGGTGAGAAAATTATGTCACTTTGGGAAGTATGGGACCTCAACGATGTTTCTGGGGGGATCAGGGGTCCCAGCATTGCTTTAGGGGAGCGGGGCGCTCCGTTAGGCAGATGGTTCAGGACTATCATCTCTTTTGAGAGTTCAGAGCTCTGGGATTTTTATCCAACAGTCAACAGCAAAGTGGTTGATCCACTATGAGAAGGTGCTGCTTATAAAAACTGAGTTTATTGCAGCTCCTCAGACTGAAGAAGTCTTTTGAATAAAAGACAAAACATTTCAACGAAGAAGAATCCGTCCAAAGGACCTTCATTAGATTACAAGAAAATAAATACAAAAAAAAAACCACGGTTTACAGAAAACTTTATGAGATTATCTACTTACCAAATGTTAGCAAGTCTTCCACAAATTTACTGTCAGTGTGGATGCTCACGTTGGTCATGTTCGGAGGAGGAGACAAGTCCTGGCGGACCAGATCCATCAGCCGAGGCTTGACCTTCAACATTAAAGATTATTTTAAAAATTCAATAAAACAAACTTCCTGTTAAACTACTGTTATTAGTGTTTTTTTAATTTATTTTTTACTAAATTTGAACGCTGTGTCTGATGAGCTGCTGGAAACAAAAGAAATGTATTTTAAAATGTGGTCAGCAGGTGAGGTTCTGACCTGTTCTGTGCAGTTCAACAGAACCAGCAGGTCCGTTGTGTTCCGGGCTTTTTGGACAGCGCCGCTCACCGATCTGTGACTCTCCTGCAGCTGCTTCACCTTCAGCATCCTGTCTTTGATCATCTCCTTCTCAGACTCGTAGACCTTCTGCCCACACACACACAAACAAACGCCATGTGCAACAAACCAGGAAAAAAAATCAACTACCAAATTATTCTCCTTCAGGAGTTTAAATCACTTCCTTTGTCGTGAAGCAGAGTTTAAACTACGAGGAATGAACTGGACTGATTCAGAACCTCTCGTCAACCAGGGTACTCTGAGCTCAACGCGACTCGTTTACAGAACTCTACAAACCTAATTCTCTTGTTTCTCCTGTACTCCTGAAATGAGCAAAGCTAAGTTGAAGACACACTACAGGATCTTTTTGGACAGATTTTACCCACAATTCCCGGGTGAGCAAAGCCTGCTGCAGTTTGCGTGTGAGCAGAACAAACCCGACTTCAGTCGCAGTCCAACAAGTACTGCACAGGAAGTGATGTCAGAAGAACAGACAGCTGCGCAGACAGCAGCAGCAGTGATAAATGTGCCGTTATAAAGAAAATGAACAATCGCAGATGACCAGATTTAATTTAGAGTACGGTACATTGTTTAGAGGTCATATCACAAGTTTGTTGATTCAGTTACGCGGCGACACCAGTCCCAGAGACGGAATCCAACGTGTAGGCAGCGAGGACATAATCATAAAAAGCAATTTTTCAGCAGGGCAGACGGGAGCTCAGCCAAAATGCAGTTCACTTGTTCGCCGCCATGTTGGTCCCCTCTGCTTTTCAGGTTTAACAGTTCTGTCCGTGCAGCAGAGTTCTCACAAGGCCAAACCCTCAAAATGAATTATAACGACTGATTAGACCTTCATTGTGACATTCAGCAGAAATCTTGTCTGCAACTTTTAACCTTGATTTGACCTTGAAGCTGGTGTAATGGAAAGACTACGTGACACGTCGTGTAGTGGCCGTACAAACGTGTCTGAAGTTCTGCTAAATTCACTTCAACGGATCAGAAGTTATTGAACCTATAGAACACTAGAAGGGCCTCTTTTTTATTTCATTTACTCTTAAACGATGTATTAAAAACAAACAAATGGCTGAATAACTGATTTTAAAGGAGTGTTATGTAAATTAGATTAAAGCATAATATTCAAAAAGAAAACTTTTTTTTGTTAGACTTCCAATCAAACCTAGTAAACGTCATTATTTCCTCAATGCTATTTTAAGGTCGTTTTTCGACGAGTGAAAAATTAAAATCAAAACCAGCTACATTTCCATCAGCAGTCAGCCAGAAAACATCCACATGTTGCACTGCTACTTAGAAAACTTTGGAGAGAAACGTTTTTTTATTACCGTAATTTCCAGATTATATGCCGCTAAACCAGACCAAAGAAGTAACCGAACAGGTCACAGTGGACCGATGAAACTTCGACTCAAACGCACTCACAAAACGTTTCACATCGGTCATTTTGCACTTCATGCACAGATCCTCATCATGAAAAACACAAAGAGACAGGAAGTCCAACTTCCTGTGTCTTTAGGATCAGTCAGTACAATTGACAACATTTACCCGAATCTCTTTGAGGAGACTGTCGAATCTTCTTTTCAGAAACTGAACCAACATTTTGAAAACTCGCTGCAGATCAACTGTCTGGAAGAGCTCACAGCAAGCCAGAAACTTCAACCTGCAACACAGGAAAACAAATAACAACAACAACAACAGGTGTTAGGACGACTGAACCCGAGTTCTGTTTAAAGTTTATTTCTACTCCTCTCCATTAACAAATTTCAATCATTTGATTATATGTCCATTATACAAAAAGTTGGAAATTGAATTGTTGTGTGAAATATAAATGAAAGAAGACGCAATGATTAGGAAATGACACAAACTCATATTTTATTCACAGAGGAACACAGGAAACACCAAATGTTGAAATTAACAAAAAAAAGGACAATTAAAAAAAGTAGAATTTTGATTAAATCAACGTCTGTTGAAAGTTATTCAGCTACATGTTCCCTCTTACAAGACTCTGGATCTGAGACCAGCTGGTGCAGGTTTTCAAAGACCTCAAGAGACCAGTTGATGCAGGTTTTGGAGGACTTGCAAAAACCAGCTGGCGCAGGTTTTGGAGGACTTGATAAAACCAGCTGGCGCAGGTTTTGGAGGACTTGATAAGACCAGCTGGCGCA